AATAATACAAGAAAATAGTAAGAAAGAATGAAGCTCACTCGAGGATCCACATTCATTTAGATAAAACAAACATCCTTATCCACGTAATGCTACAATATATCCATGACAATATGATACTAATGGAAAGCAACATCAGATGTCCAAAAGAGACGGGCACGAGGAGGAGAAACATACTATACATATGGAATGCTAGATGGATCATATTGTACATGGTAAGATCATAAACCGAGGAAGGGACACTGCTTCCGAGCATGCTCGGGAATCAACTTAACCAGGCTCTCTACTGGCACACCCTTGAGCTCTGAAAGTAAAGAACGCAACAACTTAGACAAACTTAATACAACACTAATAAAGAAAAATCAATGGTGAGATCATTTACTTCATACCGTGAGGCTTAAAATTGAACAACGGAGGAAGGAATCGTCCATTTGGAAGGCGGGTGTTGGGATCACGTAGCTCATCGAAAAAGGGGTGGGTCAGGGCGTCCAACTGCATTTCAAAGTGAAATGGTGGAATTCTGGCACTTTAACAGTTTCAAATACGGATTAAATCAGCAGCAACTTTAGCCTTTGTTTGAAAGTGATTAGTTAAAACCCCCCCCCCCCCCCCCCCCCCCCAAAAAAAAAAAAAAAGAGTGGTAAAATATTGCAGTGCAAGCAAGCACGTGCATATTCTGGCAGCCAGCCACTAATAACATAAATGTTATTACTTGGGGCTTCTAGATAGGCTGAGTTAAATAAATGCAAAATTTTGATCTCAATTTCCGGTCAGAGTTCAAAAGTGCGGAAGAGCATATAGGTACACTACCACTTTCTCTCGAGTCTAGCTGGCATACAAAATGAGGAAATTATGTTCTTAAATATTGATGCAAAAGATCCTAACAATCCAATACAAAAAATGGCAGTTTCAGTTGAGAAAATATATTATATCATGAATGTCGTACTATATGCTAGTTACCCCAATGAAAAGGATAAAAAAGAGTTAAAAGAATCTGCTCAACTATACTTTTCCCATAAAACTAATCAAGGCACCATTACCCTGATTGGTTCCCAGTAGTAGAAGCAACCCTATGTGATACAAAATAAAATAAAACCAGAGATGCCAGAAAGAGATTCCTGAAAAAGACAAAAAAAAAAAAAAAAAAAAGTTTACATATACTCACAGCTGTACAACGTAAATTAGGAGAGTACTGTAGCAATCTTGAAACAAGATCAACAGCTTCTGGAGGCATACGTTTTTGGAATATCTAGCACAGAGCAAAGAAGTGAATGATGTGGTGAAAACATAAAAGGAACAGAGATTAGCATAACATATTTCCAAGTACCTTATGCCATGGATGAGCTTTAATTTGAGGGAATTTGAACTCTGTGTAATTAGGATTCATGCATTTAATTTCCTCCCTGGTTGGAGTACCCAAAACCTAAAAGTGATTCAGTTTTGAAAGGGGCATCAGAAACAAAAGTGGGCTGAATTAGAGCATGTTTGGATGGAGCTTACAGCATAACTTATAAGCCCACACCACACTTTGTGGCTTACAAGAAAGCTCATAAGTTGCTCCCAAACAAGCTCTTACCATGATGAAAAGAAAATGACACACCATATCACTTCATCAAAGCTAAAACATTTTTTTGGGCTTGTAACTGCAGCGAATTAATTTACAAGACTCTTTAATGAAAAAACACTACAGGTAGCCAAAGTATAAAATTGATCTCATAATTTTGCGATATAAAAATCAACAGCACATACCAGCAGACTATTCTGGCCCCCAAAGAGGGGGGGGGGGGGGGGGGCGGGGGGGGGGGGGGACCAAGCAAGGAAACACAAGAACACAACAAAGAAACAAAAAGAGACAGATAATGTATCTAAAACTCTCCATGCGAGTGCGTATCATAAAGAGAGAGGGGAGAGAACCTTGATGATCTCAACAAGCTGGTCTACTCCACTCTCACCAGGAAACAAGGGCTGAAAAGTGAAAGTCAACAGTAACACGTGAGAAATTCTTTTAGCTATCATGTCAATGAAATATTATTTCTAAAAAATTTAAAAGAATTACCTGTCCAAGAAGTAACTCAGCAAGCACACAACCAGCGGACCAAATGTCTATAGCTGTAGTATATTCTGTAGCTCCAAAAATAAGCTCTGGTGCTCTATAAAACCTAGAGCAGATATAAGAAATATTGGGCTCTCCTTTGACCTGCCAAGAATCATGAAATTTTGTCAAGCGTCCCATTCGCATAAAAAGAACTCCATATCAATCTTCATGAATAGCATTTTACTCACCAAAACTTTGGCACTTCCGAAATCACATAACTTGAGCTGGTGCGTATGTGGATTCACCTGTTAAAGGTCATGAAATTATTAAACTGAAAGAATTATTAGCAATGAAACAAGTTAAAGCAATTGAAAGGCAAAATCAAAAGGCAGATTGTCACACACATGAAGCATGCTAATCATCCTGAAAAGTAAATCTTAATACTATGTACATGTTATAAGGGGATTAAAACAATGTAAATAAGAATTTAGAGTTTCTTCTGAATCCAACAAACTGATGTAAAATGACTGAATAGTCCACAAAGTATGTATTAACATATTATTATGAAGGGAGATAAAACTAAGGCCACTAACTTAAGAGAAGTTCATGTTCAGTTCCAATACAAGAAATGGAAAACCATAAACTCACACAACTTGCACTAACAAAACAATGGAAATACCAAGAGACCTACTGGCTGTCTCACTAGCCACTCAATATAAAGGATATAATGATGAAGTATTCAGACACCAGAAGGGTTGACTAATGGATGAATGAGCAGTATATATTTATCTTTTCTACCTGGCATAAAGCATCCAGAGAGATGTACTACACCACAAGAACTAAACAGTTTGATGTGAAACGTAACTAATAGTACACCTTACCGATGATCAGTTCTATAAATTTCGGGCACGACGTACAAAACTGGAAGAACACAACATATTTAACCAAATGGTACATACCAGTACATTTTGAGGCTTGATGTCCCTGTGACACACTCCAATACCCCGATGGATATAAGACAATGCTCTGAAAATCTGCCAAACAAGTATGGTCATGTACAGAAACTTGAATTCTATTGCTCTGAACATCAAGTTCTCAGGCAAAACAGTGAAACGTCAACAAGTCCCAAAATACAGAACAGATATATCCCTAAAATGATTCCCTTTCAGAAAACAAAATTATCAAAAGTTGATCCACACGCAACATAATTCATACATATATCAACATACTGATAAGAAATTGATGCTACATTACCAACTCATTAAAGATTATGTAGTAGAAAACAAGTTATAAATTTTAAGTGGAATATATCAATTCTCTCAATGTAGAACATAGATCCTATTTCCATGCAAACCTTAACAAAACTTCAAAATAAGAGAGTTTCACTAAAAGAAAACTTAATAAAACCATGACCTAACTCTCGATCCCAAAAAGAATTAAAATTGAATTTGCAAGCAGACTAAGCTATATAAGTGGCTTAGAAGCATCCATTAGACCATGGCTACGAAAATGGTGCAAAGAAGCATCCATTAGACCAAGTAGAGTATCAAAGAATAAAAAAATACCTGGTAAGAATAAAGCTTCACATATATGAGTGGCATCCTCTGGTTCAACTTATTATAGTGTTTGATAACACGATTGACAGTTTCAGGGACATACTCAAGTACCAGATTAAGATATAGCTCATCTTTTTCAGTTGTAGAGAAGAAGCAGTGCTTTAAGGACACAACATTTGGGTGGTCAAGAAGACGCATGGTTTGTAACTCTCGGTTCTTGTATCTCTTGTCCTGAAGAACCTTCTTTATGGCAACTGTTTCACCTGACTCTAAGCATTTCGCCTGAAAAGTCAAAGATCAGCAAAGAGTGCTCTTTCATTTGCATAATTTGGTAGCCTGAGAAATTCCAAGACATAAACAAAGCAAGTTCTCACCTGAAATACTACTCCGAACGATCCATGCCCGACAACACGTTCAGCCATGTAACTAATGGTCTGAAAATATCAGGAAAAAATGCAAATACACAAGTAAAGCTTTGAAAAAGTACGATGTGGTTTTTGGGATCAGGATTTTAGGAAAACAGTACAAAAGCTATGGCAATACCTGCTTACGCTGGCCATTTCGACCACCAATAGTTGTCACTATTATGTGCCCTGTCTCAGTGCCATTACCATCAACAACTGCTGTTTCCATTTCCTAAAAATACAAATTACGTCACTCATTAAAATAAAAATTACCAAGCATTCAATAAAAGAATAGTTCTTAAAAAAGTTCTACATAAAGAATGATTCTTTAACAAGTTGCACACTCATACCTTGTCATCCCGGATTTTCATTTCAGTCATCTCCTCGGGCAGCCTATCAACTCCCACAGAATGGCTGCTTGACTCCCTTAATCCAGAAGCAGGTGCTACACCAACTGAAGCCATTTGATAAAATACTAGCTGATAGTATTAAATTGACAAACTCACCTGCTGAAATTAACAACACAACATAAAAATGTTCAGAAGTTATACATTAATGTCAACCCATGTAGCAATAGTAGTTCCGAAACCCATAAAAGATTGAATCACAACCCAAAAAAGCTAAAATCCCAGTTTAAAGCTTGACTCAATAATTTATTGAATCAAAGAACCAAGAAAATCGCAAACAATATGTTAACCTCGTGATCACAAAAACTATGAACCTTGCTATGAATTTGTTGAACGCCGCAAAGAGTATGAATCTTTGATAAATTTGAATAGTTTGAACGTCACAAGTATAGAAAATATTTGATAAGTTCCGTTCAATTAAGAACAAGATAGAAAGTGAAAAATTTCACATTACGATTAATTTTTAAAAATTAATGTATTTATTGTACAATGAATGTTCCTTTTATAGGCATAAAACAAACTTCTAATCAAAACAAAACTTTAATTCTAAAGACAAATTCAAATAAACTAGAAAACTACAAAATAAATTTTGAGTAAAACTAAAATATTTCAAATAACGAAACACCCTTAAACCAATTCAAACATAAAAATGCAAAAATGGACCCCTAAACAATTGATTTTGACCCCCCAAATATTGACATAGTCATTCGACAAACTTGTGCAGAATCAAAAGACATTTTCGAAATGTAGTAATGGGCGAAAATCCGACAGACGAGCAGAAATTTATACGCATTTTGGTGCATCATATGCGTTTTTGCGCATACTTTATATTCCTTCTATTTTTTAATTGGTTTAAGATCTTCTCTTCTAATTGATTCGTATCAATCCGAAACATGCAATGGGTCCTTGTTAGCAAGCTGGCTATAGAATTGGCTCCAAGCAGTCATTAAAACTCAAACTCAAAGTATAAGTCTCATCCATATTCATGTAGACAAGCAGAAAACTTAAGCATCCACATTCACATTTCAAGTAGAGCAGAATACTAGTGAAGGCCCGAAGAGGGGGAAAAGAAGGAAAGGACAGTGAGTTTTAAAATTGAAGCAATAACAATACGTAACTCATTCTTTGTCTTGTCATGATTGTAGAAAAGCATGTTAATAACATACCTGAGTGCAAGATGCAGCAGGTATGATGAGCTATGTTTTTCAGTACACTTCAAGCAAATTCAATAGTATCTACGGAAATCTGTCAACAACAGATAACTAAATGAATTTCTGAGTTTTTTGTGCTCAATGCTCGATGTATTTCACTAAGGAAGATAAGGTGATCAAAGGCAGATAATTCTTTTAGTCCTTTTCTATAATGCAATATTATCAAATAATCCTTTGCCAGAATTCATGAAACTAAATACTGAAACTTTGATGAAACATCTATTTTTAATTTATTGAACATGGGAAGACCAAATTAAAATACTATATAGAAATGAAAATGTTTGCTTTCACCTATTAATTTTACAAAGAAAATTTTCTCTCTCCCTAACTCAGAAGAGCTACAATCATAAACCAAAACGGAAAAATATAAGAGACAACGAGAATAATTAAGACTGTGATCCATACAAGAGAATTTTAAATGGAGATAGAGAGTTTACGGCTAGCGCTAGCCGTAGAGAGGAAGATACACAACAAAATTTTAAAAATAGCAAACACACATTTCGTATTAAGATACTAAATTGCTGATTTCAGAAAAACTGGAGCAGAAATAGGAAAAACAAACAGACCATTTTTAAAAAATTAAAAAGAAAAAGTTGGTTCTATAAACAGACAAAAAAAACAAACATATTTCACTAAAACCAAATTAACCAAACAATCACCAGATCCACGCAGAAAAATCGAAAAAACATATATCATCCTTTTACAATTTAAAACCAGAAGAACGTTTCGCAATCATAATTTCAGAAACAATTAATTAAACACAAGAGAAAAAAGCAGGAAAGGAAAACTGTACCGATTCAGAATGCTAAGAAGGCGGTGGAGCAGACACCGATGATCATCGGTGACTCCCTCTAACGATTAATTTGTGGCCTAAATTATGTGGCCCCATTACCCCCTGAGAGAGACGGATAAACACGAGAGAGACAGAAAGAGAAAGAGAGAAAGAGAGAGAGAGACTAATCAGTACCCACTAATCAGTAGTGTGTATTTATGTAATTTGATTTTAATTTTTTATTAAATTTTGGCGACAAATCAATAATGGTTGCAAGCAGTCAAAGTGAGACCAGTAATAAAAGTCCATGTTTGATTAGAAGTTTAAATTATTTATTATAATATTATTTTTTATCAATATTTTACACATAAATCAATAATAATTTTTTATTTTTTAACTACACATTCTCTAAATTACTATTCAAAACTATTTAATTTTTCAAGTAATGGATATCAAACAAACCTGAAAGTATTGTTCTTCTAAGTTCCAGTTTTCGAAATTTTATTTTTATTAATTATATTATTTATTATTAGTCCTAGAAGCAGTAAAAATAATAGTATACGTTTTGACCATTTGATGCGTAATAGAGATCGATTTTAGTGGAAAAAACAAGGCCCCCCATTTGATTTGGATTAAAATTAAATTAAAATTTAAAAATCAAAAACTAATTTTAATAATACATTTCATGAGATTTGAAATTTTTCAACCACTCATTTTATCAAATTTTATAAAAAATTATTAAAAATCTAATTTTAATTTAGGAGTTTATTCTTGTTACGTTCGTGTTATTTTTTTCGACACTAATTCGAATATCGAGTGACGAATAAGATAGTCAAAGCTTGGTTAATATGACGAGTAGAGTCCTCGAGACACATAATCAAGGGCGGATTTAATGGGCGGCAACCCTAGCTGGATTCGTCGGGGATAATTTTTTCTGATAATAGAGAGAATTTGTAGATTATATATTTTATAACTCATATTAACAAAAAATATGTTTGGTAGCTCAGCTGATTAGTCATTCCATTATTGAATTAAAGGACTTGTGTTGAAAACTCTATTTTTAATAATACATTTCATGAGATTTGAAATTTTTCAACCACTCATTTTATCAAATTTTATAAAAAATTATTAAAAATCTAATTTTAATTTAGGAGTTTATTCTTGTTACGTTCGTGTTATTTTTTTCGACACTAATTCGAATATCGAGTGACGAATAAGATAGTCAAAGCTTGGTTAATATGACGAGTAGAGTCCTCGAGACACATAATCAAGGGCGGATTTAATGGGCGGCAACCCAGCTGGATTCGTCGGGGATAATTTTTTCTGATAATAGAGAGAATTTGTAGATTATATATTTTGTAACTCATATTAACAAAAAATATGTTTGGTAGCTCAGCTGATTAGTCATTCCATTATTGAATTAAAGGACTTGTGTTGAAAACTCTTCAAGAACATAGCCCTTCTACTATTATATTGGAGGTCTTATGTTCGAAACTTTCAAGGGTAATATTTTTTATAATTTTTGTATTTCAACAATTTTTACCTAAAGAAATGCAAGGAAGATGATTCAAACCTGCTATTTTCCTTAAATATACTGACCGCTTTACCATCATAGCACCTATTAATTTTTAACACATAATGTAACAAAATAATATATGTTCAATTTTACTGATTTAATGCAAGTAGAAATATTTTAATCGGTGTTTTGTCCCTTTTCTTATTATTTTTTTCTCTAATCAATTGATTTGAGAAGCTGGATTCGTCGGGGATAATTTTTTCTGATAATAGAGAGAATTTGTAGATTATATATTTTGTAACTCATATTAACAAAAAATATGTTTGGTAGCTCAGCTGATTAGTCATTCCATTATTGAATTAAAGGACTTGTGTTGAAAACTCTTCAAGAACATAGCCCTTCTACTATTATATTGGAGGTCTTATGTTCGAAACTTTCAAGGGTAATATTTTTTATAATTTTTGTATTTCAACAATTTTTACCTAAAGAAATGCAAGGAAGATGATTCAAACCTGCTATTTTCCTTAAATATACTGACCGCTTTACCATCATAGCACCTATTAATTTTTAACACATAATGTAACAAAATAATATATGTTCAATTTAACTGATTTAATGCAAGTAGAAATATTTTAATCGGTGTTTTGTCCCTTTTCTTATTATTTTTTTCTCTAATCAATTGATTTGAGAGCTCGGTAATTAATGGTGGATGAATTTACAGGAAAATTGGCCTTAGTGTATAAGGAATTTTTCAACATAAAATTGATATAAGCACATAAATAATTTTAATTTTTTTAGTATAATAATGCTTGTTTAATTAACTTTAATTGTAAATTGAACATTGATATTTTGTTAATATATATTGCATATTTAATTGAAAAATAAATTAGGACATTTTGCAGATTATGGAACGATTTTTTCATTCAAAATGAAAGTTCGTACCTAGTTTCTAGTTCTAGTGGTGTATCTAGTTCTTCTAGTTTTAATCTGTACAATTTTTTAAATATTCTTTAATTAAATATTAACAAAAAATCCGGCTATCACGAACGTTGGCCGTTGATAGTAAGCTTTCAACGCTCGCGATCCATTATAACTGAACTCGACCCCTGAATTCACCCCTACACACAATGTGAATAAGAACCAACACCATACTTCTCGTTGGACTCCCCCCTAGTCCTTTAAGATAACTCATGGCTATAAGAAAAGATGTCTCTTTATTCCTTTTTTTTTTTAATAAGTTGGAAATAACAAGTCTGGAGAATAGAGCTAGGGATGTAAACGAGCCGGCTCGTGAGCCTAAAATTTCGGCTCCGGCTCAGCTAGGTTAAAATGGCCGAGCTTTTTTGCGTGCTCGAGCCGGGCCGAGCAAAAGCTCGGTAAAAAAAAAAAAAAAAAAAAAGGCTCGGGGCCGAGCCGGGCAGGCTCTTTTTTTTTTTCCCTCCTAAACTTCGACTCTATTATCACTTCAGTATCAATTTTAAAGTAATTACATGTCAATGCTGATTTAAGACAATTATTTAATATTTGTCTTAAAGTAATTTAGATATATTAAGTTAAAAGATCTGGTTGATATATATTCAGTTCTTGATTACCAGAACTATTTAAGGGAGCATCATGATGATATCTTATATAGTAACAGGTTACACTTTTAGGTGGATGTTTGTATAATTAAAATAAGGCAGCGAACTGCTGCCTTTTAGGCAGTAAATTTAATTTTTTTTTTTTTTAAAACTCGTGAGCTCACGAGCTGGCTCGGGCAAAGTCCGTGTCCCCAAAATGGGGCTTGACCCTAGCCTAAACCGAGCCTCGAGTCGAGCGCCCGAGCCAAGCAACGGCCGGCCCGAGCCGACAAGCCCGATTGCCATCCCTAAATAGAGCTCTAACTCCATCCGAGTTCTCTTGTGCAACTTTTTTCTCTCATCTTTTCGGTTTAACCCGTTTTTATTTTTATTTTATTTATAGTTTTCTCATGCCTATGTTTATTTTGTGTTAAATTATTTTTTATCCTCACATTTCGAATAATCCACAAGTATTAAATGCAGCGTGCCATAAATCCAACCTCTAGAATTGAAAGTATTTAGTAGTGGTGTGACTTGAAAGAGCACACTATTTTGTGACTGAAAGAGCAAATTAATCGAATCGAATAATAACCATTATAAAATTAATTACAAAATTTATTTATCAGTTTTTCCTCATGGAACGGGGCCCAGCTCTCTGAATATATTTTTACATCAAAATTCGAACAAAGGTGTGTTGCTATGTTGTACAATATAAAAGAATTTATATTTTGTATTTTTATAAAGTTTATAATGGATATTATAGACATGTTATTATAAATTATAAACAACTTTTTTATTAAAACATATTTTGAGATTTATGACATTTTAACATAAAAAGTCTATTACTTTATGAAGATTATACAATAAAAATATATTAATTTACAAAATACGGAGAAATTAGCTGCATTTTTCAAACTTGTTTTGAGAAATGACACGAGTTAAAATACAAACAATGATTGGATAATTAATTAGGAGTTAACACATTGTTTTAATACCTAAAACTAAAAAAATAAAATTATTGCTTAATATTGAATATAGAACAATGATTTTGTCGAACCGAATACATTGTATCAATATCAAGTTTAAAAATATTAGAGAAATAAAACATAGTTGTACCATTGTATCGTGCTAAACCCATCCAATCTTCTACGTAGATAATGAGTCTCGTAAAAACTATAATTAATACATACTCATTTCTCATAGACAATCAACGAAATAAGAACCCGTTTGGCAAAAATTAAGCTTTAACTTTTTTGTAGGACTTCTTGAAGAAACTGTATTAGATCAAATTTCTCTAAAAGCTCTTCTAATTAGGCAAATCACTTTCAACAAATTATCTCTACATGTTCAAAAGCAATTTTTAATCTCAAAAAGTAGCTTCTGATTTTTTTAAAAAATGCCAAACGAGCCCTATAATTAAAAAAAAAAAGTAACAACAGAAAAACAGATCAATCTGAACGAATTATTAATTCAAAGTGATAAGGTATATTAAAAGAACATTCAACATCAGCTGAAAAATAAAGGCAAGAATATTTTAAAATGTCACTTGCTAACACTGGTCTACACGGTCGAATCATTATCGCAAAATAACATGGAAAAGCTTAGCTGGCCTGTCTGAATTATGAACTTACACTCAATCTTGATAGCTAAAGATTATTAGTTTAATATTATTGCGTTATTAACTCAAAATCCATACCAAAGGCACCCATTGTCAAGTCAGAATCATCACAGATCATCAAAACAAACTCAAGAAAATGTGCTTTCTTGTTTGAGAGAAAGGGAAGCAAGGTGAATTGACAAACTTCATTACAATTATAGACATGTCTATGAGGAAAATTTCAAATAAGATATTTGATGAGACCTGTAAAGTCCAATCAGCAACTAGAATGGAAGTGTCTGGTAGCCAGAAAAATTTATCCTCAGAATTGCAATTGGAAATGAACCAACTTTGAATTGAGCTCATGCAACCAAACATTACACGCGGAAAAAGCTGATGAAAGATTTTGCTGGATATGCTTCAACTTTCCGACTAGGTTGACATCCAGTTCCTTCATCGCGACATTTCCAATTGGATCTTGACATTCGGCAGTCCAAAAATCAGTCTGTTAA